CCACAAGTCTTAAAATTGCCAAGTTTGAAGACCCTTGATCTATTCTATCTATTCTCTCTTTCTCTCTATCCTACCTCTCTTTATCCTATCTATCTATATATATCTATTCTATCTATTCTTTCTCTCTCCCCCTATCTACTTACCTACCTACTTACCTATCTATTCTACCCCTCTTAATCTATCTATTCCAGGGGTCTTTAAACTTGACAACTTTAAGACTTGTGGACTTCCAACTCCCAGAATTCTTCCTCCGGTCATATTAGCTCAGGGATTCTGGGAATTGAAGCCTACAAGTCTTAAACTTGCCAAGTTTGAAGACCCTTGTTCTAAGATAAGGGGTCAAACTATTTTCCAAAGCACCTGAACGCCAGTCAAGGAATAATGGATGGATTGATCCATCGATCCAGGAGAGATTCAACCTGAAAATAAGGAGGGATTTTCCAACAGGGAGAACAATCAACCCATGGAACAGAAGTTGCCTTCAGAAGTTGTGGGAGCTTCATCCCTGGAGGCTTTCAAGAAGAGACTGTCAGAGATGGGGTAGGGTCTCCTGCTTGGGCGGGGGGTTGGACTAGATGACCTACAAGATCCTTTCCAACTGGGGGTAATCTGTTATTCTATGGCTTCTATGAATGGGTTGCTTCTTTGCTGCAATCGCTCATATTTGGTTTAGCTGGGGAGATATTTCCCTGGCCATATTATGACCATATCCACTCTCTGCCTCAAAGGGTGCCTTGCAACACGTCCCTGGACTACCGAACCAACGGAAACTAGTCCTGTGTAGAGCTTGAAGGAAGATTCTGACAGTGGATCCCACAAAGAACAAAGGAGGCAGCCATCAGGCTTGCAAAGTGAGGCGGGTATGGATAGTATCTTCTGATCATCAATCTACCATGGTTACAAGGTCTAGTAATGTAGTCCAAAGGCAAGCAGGGAAATAAGACAGACCAAACATTTGGTGTGAGCTTTTGTCAACGTCTTCAACTTTTATTTCATTTGATCGCTTCAGAGAATACAAAATGCTTACATTGCAAAAGAGTTCCTGGCTATGGCGCAATGATTGTCATCCCAAAATTTGCTGACCCTCCTTGGTCCTCGGGAAGTAGGATTCTTTCGAAAGCCTCCCCACCATCGTTGGACACAATGGACTTTCAGGCCAAAAGTCATTCCCCACCCTTCAAATCCAACCAGGTTTTCCCCAAAGATCCTTCTGGTTCCTATGAAAGATTAGAGGAAGACCTTTGCAAATCACACCTGGGTTCTTCTAGGGCAGCCTCTCCGAACTTGGTGATTTTTAAAGGCTTGTGGACTGGCTGAAGCATTCTAGGAGTTGAAGCCCACAAGTTGCCAAGTTTGGAGAGCCTGTTCTAACGGGGGCACAAAAAAGGAAGAGGCTATGCCCTCTGCCTTCCGGCATGGCTCAAGGCCAAGCTGGTTGGCTCTACAAGCCAGCTCCTCTTAGAAGAACAGATGGGTATGCAAAAATTTAAAAAGAACTGTGGTGTGCAAGGAGGAGAAAGCTGCCCATCTTCCTTTGAGAGTCAATATTCAATCCATTCAATCCATTCCCACAACGCAGTTGCTTCTCTGGTCTCATTGATGCAAAGGGAAGATTCCTCCAAAGCAGGGGTCTCCAACCTGGGCCATTTTAAGCCTGGAGGACTTCAACTCCCTGGGAATTCTGGGAGTTGAAGTCCTCCAGGCTTAAAGTGGCCCAGGTTGGAGACCCCTGCTCCAAAAGGAACGGCGGTTTGTGTGCGTAGAGGCAATGTAGCGTGGTACGTGTGCTTGCATCTCTACTTCACTTGCATTCTCAAAGCACAGCCTATCCCCACAACCTTCAGAGGCCACTGTTTTAAAAAAGACCAGCAGGTTAAACGTGTTCACATGTTTTAATATTGCACCTGACCAAAAAGCTGAACACACGACAGATTTTTCCCCACCTTCAGTCTGTGCATCTCCATCAAGAGTGATAGGACTTGCACGAGTCTTTCAAGACTCCTCTTGGAATTCTACATTTCAGGAACAGTTAGCAGAATATCCCCCCAATTTAGATGACACCCACCCCCCCACCCTTGTTCATCGTTATTATACAGCAACGGCATGAATTCAAATCTCACAAAATAAACAATAAGACATAATAGCCCACACATGCATACAAACTCAAGCCCAAGTGATTACTATATCGATACAGGAGATCATTGCGTTTTTCAACATTACATTATTTGGCTCATATTCTCCTGCAGTTGGAAGTATAGAGTTCGGGTTGTTTTGTTGTTGTTTAAGTTAAGCCTACCTCTTTCCATCACCATCAAGATTAAGACAGAGACAGGGGTCAGATAGGAAGGGAATGCTTAAAAAATGCCAAATAAATACAAGAAATCTGTTAAGGTGTTGTGTTTCTCACGCACACTGATATGAACAGAGAAATACCTGCACCCAAAGGACTAATTAGGTAAGCTGGAAAACTGCAGAGTTTTGGATTCTGTATTCTACAGCAGCGTTTCTCAACCTTAGCACCTTTAAAATTGCTAAACCAATTAAACCTTAAAGCCACCGTGGGTGAGAAAACTGAACTGCTATTCAAGTACCATCTGTCCGATGTGAACCTTTGTAGAACTTTTAAACTATTACTACTACTACAATAATAATATTAATAACACTAGCCCATTCAAGAGTATCTTCCTCAGGGTGTGATTTCGGCAATGAACACCCAACTAAAACTAGTAGCAACTGAATTAACTGATTGTAACAGTGATGTAAACACCAGAATTAGATCTGGAGTTCTATTTTGTCACCAGTGTAAAATGAAAACATTCCCACTGTGTTCAAGAACCATATGAGGAGGCCAAATTTCTATAGTTCCCTGATGAAAACGCAACAGAGGGACTATGGAAAATTCAGAACGGGCATTTGTCCCCAACTGAACACAGATCACAGGTGATTTCCTCAAATAAATCCCTTCCAGATGCATTGGATATTCATACTCCCAATCTCCTAGCCTAGCCAAAAGACCAATACACCAGGTTCGAAAGAAGTGATGTTCTGACTCATCACATGATGTCGTCTTAAACAGACGACCTCTTTGCATTTCCTAATTTTTTCCACAATGAACAGTCTGGCCTAAAATTACACCTTTTAGGCATGGGGGAATGTTCCTAGGAGCTATAGTTTCTTAAGAGTGGGTCTTCTCAATGGGTTAGGAGCCCTCTCAAGCCACAACAGATAATATTCAACTTAACGGAAGACAAAAGAAAGCACAGCGGTGCTCATTCAGTCTTCCGTTTTCAGAAGCAGAGGTACCGAAGTCTGCATCCATGCTTTTGAGAATTAACTCTCCCTCTTCCAAAATCTATCCAAATGTTTGAACCATCCCGTTTCTTTCTGTAAGCTCTAACTGATGATATAAGTTATGCAGCAAAAACTGTATTTAAAAATAAAGCAAACTACAACCAGAGGGGGGGGGGAATAGCAACACTCCAGCACCTGCTTAAGACATGAGGTAGGTGCACGAGGAGGGAAGAGGTATTGGGAGCCCCATCGTGGTGTTGGCCCAACCTACAGCCAACCTCCTGTTTCTACAGTCCAGGAATGTGTCAGCAGGTAATGCCAGGTGGGATGCTTTAATCCACCCCCCAAATCAGACCCAGCATCCATTTCCTAGAAGGATGAACCGTAACACCTTGTGGGAAAAGGCTTCTGCCTGAGCTCAGGTGAGTCTGTTTAAGCAGAGCGCATGAAAAGACGCAGAACCCAGCATGAAGACCCTGCGAAGACTGAATTACGGGGGTCCCCAAGACCCCAGGCCACGGCCCATTCGGAACCGGGCTGTGCCAGTGTCAGGCACGCAATTCACACACGCAGCTCCACTTGTGCAAACGGTGCGCGAAGCTCCATTTGTGTGAGGCTCCCAAAACGGAGCTGCGAGGGTGCGCTCCTGTTGCTTGCGCAGAGCTATTTCCTCACCCCCCAGACCAGAAAGCCAGAAAGGCCCGGGGGGGGGGGGGGACAACTGATCGGGGAGACATTTCGTCTTAGCGTTTAAATTATCTCTGCCCTTTCCAGCCGTTTTTGCTCTTTCCTGTAATACTCGTGACTGAAAGAAGCATTTTATTCTCCTAGGAAATCTGGCCGTTTCCAAAAGTGCAAGTTCTCCCAGCAGGCCAGAGAAGGGAGGTAAGGAATCCAGGCCTCAACGTCACTTGTCCAAAATGTTAAGAGCGGTGCAGGCGGTTGGCAGTCCTGTATAGAGAGTCTCAACAAGATCGGAGTGCGTTATTCTCCGTGATTTCAGGTCATGCCCGCTTCCCTACCAAATAAATGCAGCAACACAGCATGGGAGAGCGGTAAAAAGTGCATTTCCCCCCCACCTTTCATAAAAGGAGACATCAAGTGAATATGATCCCCGCTGCGAACAGGTTCAAATCTCAAGAAAAATATAAACGGGATCTCTGATCTATTTTCAGGAGGTAAAAATGTGAGTATCTGGCCTCATCAGCTCAGCAAATACGCAACGTCATTTCCCCCCCACCCCCACCCCCAGAAAAGGCACATGGCAGCAGTTCTTCACAGCTGAAAAGTCAACCTGTGGCCAGCAAACTGAATTTCCCCAGCACGAGTCAGTTGGAGAACGGATCACCTTCTCGGTTCTTCTGGCTGGACGCGGAGATTGTCCCAGCAAGGATTTAAACAGTCGATTGTCTTTTTTTAGAGAACCAGATTTCCACTTTCAAACATAGTCAAAGAAGAGACGTTTGCAGAAGGAAGATCCATACCGCGTGGAGTCCCACGACTGTGGTTGGAACGGCAGGTGATTGAACGACTTAAAAGAAAAAAGCATCACTAGGAGTGAAGGATTTCATTGGTCGTCTGTGCAACGCGAAAATAGCAACGAGGATCGACTCTGAACCTCCAAGAGATGTCACTGCACTCAACGTTGTGACTTTAGCTCCCCTGCGTATTGAACAGCCATTCCCCAACAGGTGCACCCTAGGTGGGGTGAGCCAGGTGGGCTGCAGATTATGACATTTGAAATCTAGCACAAGTGGATGGAGGGTATGGATTTGAGAGAAGCTGGTCTGTGTGTCCCCTGATGCGCATCTCCCCTGCCCTTCCACCAGGACAGAACAAATGCATGAACATAGGGACTAGGGGAATCTGATGGGGGGCAAAGGAGAGGAGGAGGCGGAGAAAGTGGAACAAGGCTTATCTCGTGGTTTGCAAAGGCTCAGAAAAAGTGCATTGTTCCTCAAAGGACTGAACAAAAGGAAGGCAGCTTGCCTTCATTCTGCAGAGTTGGAAGGCGTGACTGCCGGGCGTAGCTAAAGCACTTTTTCAGATTTAGGGGTTCAGTGGCAAAAGGAGGGGGAAAAAAACCATGTAGCTTTGAAAGTAGAAAGCTAGAAAATTAAGTCCTGGAGAAAGTGGAATTCAAAGCCAAGGAAATGGGAATTTTCCCTTAACAATTTTTTGGACGATCTCACCTGTCTGATAAGGAGAGAAAAAAAAACTGGTTTTGCAAAAAATGGAGAGCGAATGATGGAAAGCTTTAGAAAAATTACAAAAACTCCCCTTTAAAAAGCCAGCAAAAACTCTTTTAAACTATCAGGCTTCCCGGGGTTGTACAAAGAAAAGAAAATAACAGGAACAGTCTGTAGCCTACTCAATTGTCTGTTATACTCTCAGGTAAGACTATAACCTATAGCCATTGACTATAGCCAACGTTTGCCGAGAACATGGCTTAGGATAGGAATTAAATTCAGATAAAAAGAACTTAAAATGCACATTGTAAGAGAAGACTTCGGTTTCAAATTGAGAATTACTCCAGAGACAGCATTAGCGTCAGGTAGAGTCCTCTCAGCTTCTTTGGAGGACAAACAAAACAAAATAAATAATCTTCCATTTGGTTATCATTTCTTTTCCTGGTACGTGCACATTTGACATGATGTTGAGATGCTCCATTCATCTTTGATCAAGGTAAAAACAGGTTCTTTTCCACAAAGTTCCCTGTGGGATTAACTGGCTTAAGGATAAATATTTACTCAAGAGAGTTTTAGGCAGGGAAATGTGTTGGTCCAGTGAAAGTGGCAGCAGAACAAATTCAAGGTCTCCATCATCGGTTACTGGAGCTCTGAGGAGAAGGCTTCCTACGAGTCAGGAAGGTTCCACCCCAGCAAGAGTGTTGAGCATGATGGGCGAAGTGGAGCAGAGGTCCCCAAACTTGGCAACTTTAAGACTTGTGGACTTCAACTCCCAGAATTCCTCGGCCAGCTTGGCTGGGAGTTGAAATCCACAAGTCTTAAAGTTGCCAGGTTTGGGGACCCCTGAATTAGAGCAGGTTCTGTTTCATGGAGTCCGTTCACACGTTCTTGGGGGGGAAAAGCCACATACTGGAAGGAAGCCACGATAGGAACCCATTTAGGGTTTCGGCTTCCCCTGTTTGGAAGGGAAGGGGGCCGATGAAAATGGGTCAGTGGTGGGCAGTTCTTTAGTCCTGGAAGAAATAGAGGCGATAGAGACCGACCCGGCTATCACCTGCTTGTTGGTCTGAGATACAACTTTGTATGCCGCGATGGGTTGGGCATCGGCCCCGTGCCCGCCTTCTGGACTGTAGTGGCGGGAGTACTTCGCTAAGGACCGTGGGTGGAAAGGCGGGCTGGTCTTGGGTGCCAAGAAGCCTTCCTGGAGGCCCGCGTGCCTTTGGAGTGCATCATGGGTAACGGGGCCCAGTTCTCCAGAGGCGCCTTTGGGAGGGTGGGCCTCTGGGCCATCAACTGTTGCTCTCGAGGGCCGAAGCGATGAGGCCCCCAAATACTGGCCTTGGGGAGGACGGGAGCCATGGGTTCCCACGTCCAGGTTCTGGAGTGTAGGGCCACGCGGGTACTGAGCAACTTCAGCGGAGCCCAGGAACGGCCCGGTGGCCGGAGGTTCCTTCACGACACTGTGAGCCGCCAGCTCCTCCTGGCTCTTCCTCTTGGTGAAGGGTGCTCTGAGGAACACGTCGCCGTCATCCAGCTGCTTAGAGAAGACTTGGCTTTTGGAGAGAAATGGGGCCTTCGTGAAAATGTCCAACTCATCGCAATAGCTTCTAGAGCTTCGGAAAGGGGCCGTGGAAAACACGTCGGTGTCTCCTTCGGGCATTTCCGCGGGCCGTGGTGGGAAAGCGTTGAACAGAGGTGGCCCTGGAGATGGTTGGAGGCTCAAGTCCTTCTGGGAACCCCTCTCCCTTTCCTGGAGAGCGGGGTTCATTTTACAAGCCTCCTCCTCCTCTTCCGAGTCCATCAGCAGAGGTCTGGATCCGCTGCAGTCCAAGAGGTCTCCCTCGTGGTCGGTCCCTTCGCCTTCGCTGCTGCTGTGGAAGGAGCTGTTGCTGGAGAGGCCGGCCCGCCCAAAGAAGTCAGTTTCTCCTCCGAGTGGACTGGGCTGCGGACTGTTCAGCGGCAAGCCAGGGGTGGGCCCAGGCCTTCGGTCTTGCTCAGGGCCGGCCACGAAATACGCAGCCGGCTTCCCCTGCGGTCCTGCAAAGTGTAAAACAAGAGCATTACTGGCTACTCTTCGGACAGGCCAGCTAAAACTAAAACCACAGAGGTGTAATGGTACGGGATTTAAAACCAGCAGCACGCATGTTGGGGAGAGGAGGGGAGGGGAGATGGGAGGGAGAAATATGTTTAAAATAATAATAATAAAAAAAAATCATACAAAAGTGAAGCCAGGTTAAGTTACAACCAACGTACACAACTGGGCATTACTTCACGTTTCAAAGTTCCACAAAATGTGGGTTAGAGAGAGATGAAAGGTGTTAATCAAACAGACATACAAGCCTCATTCAAGACTTGGGAGGATGAGGGTGATAAGGAGGAAATGGTTGTCCCAGACGTCACTTGACACAGGGCGAGCTGTGCTTCCAAGGAACCCGGAGTTCTAGATCTCAGGATCCCCAAGGGGGAAAATGAGGAGATCCATTTCTTCTCAATTCTTCTCAAACTCTAAAGCAGAGGTCTCCAAACTTGGCAACTTTAAGACCTGTGGACTTCAACTCCCAGAATTCTGGGAGTTGGAAGTCTACACGTCTTAAAGTTGCCAAGCTTGGAGACCTCCGCTCTAAAGTGAGCTCAGGTGACGCACACACAGGCTGCGTTTCTGCTGTCTTCCCACAGGTTCCCTTGCTTTTCTGTCTTTTGATCTGATGGTCTACCTCAAGGGTCTTCAAACTTGGCAAATTTAAGACTGGTGGGCTTCCACTCCCAGAATCCCTGAGCTAACGTGACTGGAGGAGGAATTCTGGGAGTGGAAGTCCACAAGTCTTAAAGCTGTCCAGTTTGAAGGCCCCTGGTCTACCTCCTGCTTAGGATAATAAAGAGAAAGCTCAAAATAAAAGGTGTGCTAGCTTGCTTTAATCAAATCCTGCTTCCTTTGGGGGGCAGGGGGGCAAATGCTTTAAATCTCATCAGTGTTAGAAATGAGAAAGCTTGAGCAACCATCTCCAAGCGGAGGCCAACTGGAACGCCTCCTAAGAGCTCTCGAAGGATCAAATCTACCCATTCAAAGCTGTTACTGATCGTGGTCTGTGGAGGAATGGGGATCAACCACGTGCCTCTTTGGGCTTGCCAGCTTTCTCGAAGAGGAAAAAATACCTCTTAACTAAGAGGGACAGCAAGTCTATTACGACCCTAGTTTGCTAGTGACAACAAACAGGGCCAGCGCCAGCAGGGCTGGTTCAGTCCAACCCAAAGCCCGCAGAACCTGCCCGCCTGGCGCCAACCAACCAAGCTATCCAGACAAGCAGGAAAAAAAATTGACCTCGCTACACACATGGAAGAGATCAGATGGATCACACACATAGTTATTAGAACACAAGAGCGCTTACCTTCCGAGAAAGAGTAGCAGGTTACAATGTTAGCGGGAGGGCAGGAAAAAGGCATGTAAAAAGCTAAATTCCACAGAGCCCAAGGCTAAGGCCTTCACGTTTACCACTATCCACAGAAATTATGGGGCACAATGACGGGTACCAGCTCAAATTCGGAGGGAGGGGAAAGAAGAATTTCTGCTAACTGGGGGAAGGCAGAAGATCGCGGTTCACCAGCAGTTACACGATGAAATAAAAGGCCTGATAGTAAGAAGTTTCTCTGGTGCGATGCTTAAAAAAGTCTTGACTGTTGATCTGTGGTTCTCAGCCATCCCGTCTCTCCATTTTTAACTATTTTTTCAAACCAAACTTCAGCTGTTTGGAATTCTGTAGGCAGGAACTAAAGTCCTAGAATTAGCTTAAGTATGGGATCTTTTCACCAGTTTAGCCCGCAAACCCTCCTGCAACCAAGCCCTGGTGCCAACCAGAGTTCTTGGTGGGGTGCACCAATATGGCCCTGAAAATCTCTACAGCAGGAAGGGCCAATATTTTGGGGCTCAGGGCCATTGTTTTAATCGGGGTGGGGTGGGGGAGTCAAGGGCTAAACGTGTGAAAGGACCGGTGCCATATCAAGCAATAAGCAAGCCAGAATTTGGGGTTTTCCTCCCAATTGTTGGAGAACTTAAAGGGCTTCGTTGTTTCAACCAGGTTAATTTTATTTGAGGGGTTCACTCAACAGAACAGTCAACTCTGCCACTGATTTTTGGCAGCGATAATAGCTGGGTAGAAGGAGAAGTCTTAGATTACATTGCTCTACAACACGGGTATCCAACACCTTGGCAACTTTAAGACTTGTGGACTTCCAACTCCCAGAATTCCCCAGCCAGCTAGGAAATTCAGGGAGTCTTGAAGTTGCCAAGGTTGGACAACTGTACCACAAGAGCATCGTAGAAGCTGATGCTTCACTTCTCCCAGTTTTCTTTAAGCCGCACCCATGTTTACAAGTTGGGCTTTATTTATTTTATTTTTTAGCCTGAGCATCATGGAAAACAACTTTCTCCACCACACAGATTGGAGCATCAGTCTGGCCCTACTGCTGAAATGAGATACGGGTAGAATTTGTCAAGGTGACTGTCTTCTGTGGTTCTTTACTAGGATGACTTAAAGACAACCTGGCTGCCATAAATGTTATCCATAGAGCTGTTTCCAAAAATCATCTCTTGAGCAGTCCATTTTCCGTTCCTCTTGCCCAGGATTCTTCTCTGGGTTAATTCTTTTCTGGGATGGGCTTTCTTGTGTCTGTTTCCAAGACCTTCCCCTCCTACCCCTTTGCCAGAAGATCTGGGCCTCTCTTCTCTTCATCCATAGATGCATCTGGAGTTCCGGATAGTGGATTTCACTTCCCAGACATTTTGCTCTCAACTTCCAGAAGCTTGGAGCAAAACCTTTCTCAACTATTCTGGAGGTTCTTTCACAGGTAGGAAAAGAAAAAATGAAACGCAACTCTCTGATTTTTCTGATTGACAGCACTCAATCAAGTTTAGATACCGGACAGGGTGGAAATCAAATGGAGATACTCTGGCAAATGTTTGGACTAGTCCAGGGGATTGTTAGCTATAGTATCAGGAACGTTCTGCCTTAGAGCCCAGGTTACTTGGCTGGCCTCTGCACCTTCACTTGGGAACATGGAGGAAACATTGCTACACTGACACCCACGACAAGAATGTCTTAATGACAGCAATATGAATCTAGAAGACCCCTGGAACTTGGAAGTTGCAAAGTATGTTTCCTGGAAACCTGGAGTATGTGGGCATGGGTGTGCAGGATGATACTGCTCCCAAATTCTCAGCACCCTTCCTGCAAATCTACTCTGTCCCAACTTCCAACAGGCCTCCTGTTCTTGCCCATCCTTCACGGCCAAGTGATGTTGAGGGCAGGGCAAGGCCTCTAGCCCCCCATTCAAAACCCTTTGGCATCTGCAAGTTAAGCCTGCAAAGTCTTTCAGCTAAAAGGGTTTAGCCATTCAGAAGCAAACAAACAAAACGCAGCAGCTCATCTTTCAGCCTGGCATATGTCATCGGTATCCCCAAATAGAATAAGCAGGAGAGCCCCCCATGTGGAAGTTGTATTAGAAGTTGGAATGCTGTCGGCATGAACCATGATGCCTATAGCCAGAGCAGAAGGTAATATTTGTAGCTCGAGGTTGAACTATGGTGGTCTCCGAGCTCAGGGGTTTGGCCCAACTAGGAAACTACCTGTTGATGTTACCTGAGTAATGAAACATTTGCAGGAAAACAACCCCGATGCTCAGAGAGCCCCAAGGACTCCATGATTAATATAGCGCATCATCTCGAGCTCCTTGGCTTTGACAAAGGCATTAAAAAATGATCACACACGTATGCACACATGTGTTACGTCTGCTTACCAATGCACAAAGTCTGAGTTAGAAATGTGTTAATTTCATTCTTCCTCCTCTGTCGTCCTTAGTCACAGCTCAGTCTCAGCCCTGCTATTTTTATCTCCCATTAGAATGGGATCAAATTTGCAGGACAGCTAGGACACTGGGATTGTAAGTTGGGGACTCTGTGTTTAGAAGACGATGCCTGGCCCTCTTTGCTCATCCCTGGTGCTCTGTGGATAAATAAGGGAACCGGGTCCAATCCAGACAGCAGAACAGGGAAGAACCATTTCTGGTGGGACACTTGTGCGATGTCCAGCACACTGCAGGGTGCAGCTGAGCGATTGGCTACCTAGTCTTCACTCCTGAGATCTTTACAAAATGCTAATCTACTCCTGCCGGACACACCTCCAATTGCTGGGTGATCCAGAGAAGGCCCATGTGGCTCCACCTGAACAGGTTGCTGCGATTTATACAGCATCCGTTTATTGTCATGGATCAGTGATCTACTGCAGGGGTAGACAGTAGATCAGGGGCTTCCAACCTTGGCAACTTTAAGCCTGGTGGACTTCAGCTCCCAGAATTCCCCAGCCAGCAAAGCTTGCTCTCTTATAATCCCTTCCTCTGCAATCTCTCCACTTTAGCTGGTAAGAGAAAAAGAAACAGACACGGCTGGCTGGGGAATCCTGGGAGTTGAAGTCCTCCAGGCTTAAAGCGGCCAAGGTTGGAGACCCCTGATCTACTATATAGGAACTAGAGATAATTCCGGTACAATAATCCCTGCAGTCAATCCCTGTCAGTCATTCTTCAGATCTCACCTCTGGAATTGGGAGTCAGGAGAAATCTTTGCCGTGGTCGTCAGGAGGGGCAGAAAAATTAAAATCCATCCTCACTCGTGGTCCGGTAAAGACCAGAATGGCCATTGGTTGGCCTCACACGAACGAGGAACATCATTAACAAGGCCAAACGTTGTAAGAATCTACTTCCCAGGTTGCAAAATGAAGGAATCCCAGGGACTATTATAATGAAATGCTACGTTCAGCTTTTAATAACCAGAGGTCTACCTTTATTATCTCTCTTCCTTTTGTTTCTCTGCTCTCAGGGACTATCAGCAAATCTCTTTTGGGTAGGAAAGGTTAAAAAAAATAAATCAGATTGTGCCTTTTTGGTCAATAAATACTACTTTCACGTGGAATAATAAGAGAGCCTGATAAAGCGCGGCCAACATTTTCAGCCCATTTTGGGCAAAGAGAACCACGTATTGGTGCCATAGATCAGGGGTCTCCAACCTTGGGCAATTTTAAGACTTGTGGACTTCAACTCCCAGAGTTCCTCAGCCAGCAAAGTTGGTTAAAATTGCCCAAGGTTGGAGACCCCTGCCTTAGATCTAGATCCATCAATGGAAACATTAAGGCAGAGCAACAACTTTCAGCCCCTGAGTTGGATCTCCCTTTGGAAAAGGAAACCAGCCTTTCGCAGCTTCTAGCAATGAGCCAACAATCCACCATTCCCAAGTCAACCGTATCATGGTTTATTACTGAAGTATTTCCATGAAGACTAGTACGTGTTAATTTACGAGGTCGTTTCAGTTACTCAGACAATTGGAGGAGTCATTCTTGGGTGGGCAGGACAAAGACCCACCCCATTCATATTGGTTAGTTCACAAGCACTATCCTCACGCAACCCAGAGGCTTCAGTAAAACTCCTTCCAAAACACTTCAACAAGTTAATTAAACTTAAAATGTTAAAACATTCTTTTTTAAAAGTATTTTAATTCACAGGGGTTTTTGTTTTTTTGTTTTGGTTTCTAATATACAGCAGGTGGCTACTTTGTTTAAAAAAATCCATTCTTTTTTCCATATATTTTCAGTATCATCTGACTATACAATAACGTTCTATCTAAAGCTTTTGTCCATGTGATCCAACTCCAGTTGCCTGCACTTCAGGAATCAAAGAGTCAAGACAAAGAATCAAAGAGTCTGCCCCAAAATGTAAAGAACTATTGACATTTTTTGCTAAGACCATTTTCATAATTTTGGTCAGGAAAATCAGGAAAGTGCAGCAAAAACGACCTATGGACACACACATCACACAGAAGCGGGAACCTGTTTTATAAGGAAGGGCATCAGCAAGTAGATTTTGGAAAGATTCAAGAGAGGATTGACATGACGGTGAAATTCTATTTACAGAATTTGTTGAGCTAACTTCTGGAGATTTTGTATGGGGTGGGTGGGAAAGCTGGGGAAAAATACTCAGGGGTTACATCAGAAGGTCTTTCAATCTTGTAGGAGAGGCTGATACACCTAAAAATTGAGCCATTCATACACTCACAGGTGGGGAAACTGCACTTTTTGAACCACTACAATACATTTGCACATACACAAAGTTAGCGTTAAGCTAAGGATTATTCACTATGGAGTTAAGGGTCATCCTTCCTTTTCAGAAGGACGGACATCTTGGAAAGGACCATTAATTTTGGACTTGAAGATCAGAAGCCAATGAAAACAAGTTTACTATAGCCAGCAGTTTGATGAAACTGAGCATATCAACATGAAAATAAAAGATAGAAACTGTCGAGATACACCTAAGCTGGAAAGCACTCGCTGCAAACTGAAATGCAAGGCGTTCATGCTACTTCTATAAAGACAGAAGAATCTAACTGAAAAAGCAGTCTATCTATCTGGAAGTGGGGAGGAAATGGCTTCCTATTATCGTGTTAATACGCTATGCAAGTACTGAGAGGGACTTGAGAAAGGAAAACAGAACAAAACATCAGTCTTACCCTCAAGAAAATCTGACAGGTGCATACAATTTATACAATCCCTCAAGAGACCCACAACCCTCGTCGCCATGGCTTTCCCTTCCCCTCCTAACGGTAGTTCGTCCCAACAGAAGTTAGCCATGCTGTTTGACACAAGAGTAGGGTTCACATTTTGCGTAGAATAATTTTTTTTTTCCGCAGCTTTAGTATCTTTATTGATTGATTGGTTTATTTTTAAGCACAGTCCATTCCTAAGCAGGTTGCAAAAACAGGAGTATACGGAGCGAACGGTTGTCTTTCAAGGGCTGGAAATGTCTTTATAGCTAACCGCCAGGCCTCGAACCCAAGGCTGCCTTTAGAAGGCGCTCTCTCCAGGGCCCCAATCCGTGATAGGGATCCCTAACACGGCTCCCCATGCACTGGAGGAGGTTTCGCTGCCCTTTAGCCTCCCAGCTCTGGTTTGATTGGATTGGTTTTGTTTTTAAAATCAAGAGAAAGAAAAAGTTTGACAGACAATTTTAGTTAGCATTATTTAGGCAGATTAGTCGTATGTATTTCTAGCAAGGATCATACACAGGTTACATGGTGGTTGTCGTTTTCTTTTCTTTTCTTTTCTTTTTACAATTATAGTGTTGGTGGCACTAAACGGACAAATCGTAGCAAAGTGATTAATACAGGGCAGCGCTCCCTTAAAAGATAGCAGAGAATTGCACGAGAAAACTGTTCACAGGCTGCATCATGGCTCTGCTAGAAAGGCAGGTAAAATCCCAGCAGAGGGTACAATTTCAGAGCAGCGTCCTTTTCCACTGGGCGTTATTTCAAACAAAACATAAGCAGAAAACCATTCAACAACTAAAGTTTAGCTCTGTTAGGAGACGAGAGAGAGAGAGAGAGAGAGAGAGAGAGAG